ATTCACACTTACTTACATGTCATAGGCCAACAAGAATTCATTAGAGGTTCCATAATTTTACTTTCACGATTTTAATAAAAATCTCATACTCATTGACCTAGGTCAAACTCCGCAACCATGGGTGTCATACTACGAACAATATCTATGTCTAATTGAAGTTAATTCCGAGTTGTACTGGAAGTTCGATTGAATAATCATGTGTTAGGTCAATATTTTAAAGAACATCAAACAACTAGTCTACCACATTAGTCAAATACAATTTTAGAGCCACGTCTAATTAGTAATTACGACATTGAGTTGTCATTATTACATACATCCTTTATCATAGCTACTAATCAATGTTTAGGTGTGCATACATAAGTCATAGTGCTACGATCACTAGTACCATAATAAGAACTAAGCGAACATAATTACACATTGTACTTAATCTTTAAGACAGGGGGGCATGCTTCCCCAGAAAACTCCACGCTAACGATTTAACCTGGTCAAATTGCTTCATCTTTGATCATGTCATTCACACCTAAACACTCCACAATGTTGTTGTCGTTGTCGTACTTGATTACCATGGTTGCAAGCCAAAAGTTATGTGCTAGAAGCAACTATACCTCTAATCTTGCGGGAAATCCATTCATGTATTGTCTCGCAAAATTGACAGGAACATATTGGGGAAAAAAGAAACCGCTTAGATAAATTGTATCTCTAGACATCAAAGAGACACCGAACACCATTTTTCCAGGTTCAAAAATCAAATTTACGCAAATGTGCATACTCACATACATGTTACTTACCATTCTGCCAAACTCTATATAAGGCTTTGTAAATTTAGCCGTGAATGAGGGTGGATCGTTTTTATTCACAATATAATTGTCGAAATCATCATCTGATGAACCACTTTGATGCACATAGTCTTCATCTTTCACCTCATACCCATCACGATATATTCTTGCCCGGAAATAGTGATATCCATAATAGGACATATGTGACATCTCCACCACATTAAAGTCTCTTAAGCCATTTTGTGAAAGGAAGTGTGTCCATCCTTCTTCAAGGGAACATCTCCAACGACGTCCTCTTTCAACCAGTCTTACGGAAACCGGATATGGGATAACATTGTTACCCCGTACAATAATATCTGCCCTTTTGGAGCAGATCCTTAATACTATCTGGAAGTACAAATAAGAGAGCTTAATTAATTTATTTCATATTTAAGTAACGTGGTTTTTATGGAAATACCAATTGGGCATGATTAATACGAAATTATATAGAAAAGTGTGAAGATGAATATATCTTTATTGCATGTCCATATTACAAATTACATACAAGACAAATTTATAACATCATTACCAAGTAAAAATTGCACTTAGTTTTAAGGTATCTACAATTTTATCACCTATAAAAATAACCATTAATGTTATTAATATATCTTAGTAAGGATGTGCTTTAAATAACCGCAATAATTATGACAATCCAATTGTCCAAACTAATAAAGGAAGTTGTAATTAATTTCAGTAAGATGGAATTGTTCACCAATCGTATTCTCGTATTGCCAGAAACCAATAATTGAAACCAAGGTGCTGTGTTTGATGAGGCGTCCATATTGTATGTATTTGTCACTATACATAAAAACAAACAAACTTGGAGTATGTTCATGGAGTAATTTATAGTGTTCTAGAATTACTACTGGCAAATCCTAAAATAAAAATTAAATTGACTATCGTTGGGAAGATTCATTGATGTTATTTTACCAAAACTTACAATATAAATTAAAATGATTATCGTTGGGCAGGCCACTAGTTACAATCAAATGTAAAGTAATATGTCATCTTCAATCATGAAGGTCAAACACACAAAAATCCAATCAAGTTCCGCAAACCAAATTAATCGAAATTGTTGTAGAAATTTTCTAGGAATTTAAACAAAGATGTGATATTCAACTATACACAAGAACATCAAAATAAAAATCTTACATCAAAGGGCAGATTTGAATAGAGCATTCTTGAAGGAAAAACAAAGTAACCGATTCATGTGGTTATTATGAGTGAAATTTAATCTTTACATAAATTAATTTTTTTTTTTCGAACCAACAACATGAATGGTCAACAATTAAAAATAAATTGTGCTCAACATTGTCCTTCACATTATGATTGTTCACTTGAACAACAACTTACTTGCCTTCACAATTACCATAATACATTTATTTTTGACTTAGATCTAACCATCTAAACCAAACATATACACGACAATAACAACACTAATTCCTCCTCGATATTAATATGCATAACGAGTATATTAGACTAGTAAATTTATTAACAACAGCATGCACATGCAATATACCAAGAGATCTGATAAGAATTTTAAAAATCGTAATACGAATACCATAAACATAATTCACACTACGTCTAAAGGTTGTGATTGCATATCACAGCATCAGTTTAAGTATAACAGCAGCTAATATGTCCGATGAAGAATAATTAATATAATAGGGAAAACTCAATTAAATATAATTTCTTAAAGACAACACGAACAAATAACTTTTAAACGTTAATCGGTTAAAAAGAGACTTGAAAAAGCTCCCGCTTCGTCTCCAGTTAGCAACTTAGCAAGGTGGCAATATGGCTGTTATTTAATACAACTTCGCTTATTAATTTTTGGAGGTGAATTTGTTTAGTCATTAACATCGGATATATAAGGGTGCTGAATGGAAATGGTGAAGGCAGATGATATGTAGCTCAATTTGCATGTTTACAGTAGATGTATATTAATAATAGCAATCAAAAATAATTGAAATATGTGACTCGTGGTAGAAGTAGTTGGGAAGAGGGTTAATGAAGGGGTGGGGGTATAAAAATATATATATTTACGGTCTTGACCTGCAAGAGTTCCGCTTTGATCCAAGAAACACAACACGCAAACCCGATGTCTAACTGGGTTGAGCTCAACCCAAAACCGAATTTAATCCTAATGGAACTTGAACAGGCACCAATATAACCCGACATAAAATAAATGTGAATTCGATTTCGCCCCAATTGAACTCGGAACTTGTTTAACCCGAAATTAACACACATTGGGCCGAAATTGAATCGACAAACACCCGATGGAATTCTATCTGTTTTTTAACCGAACTTATATTAATCCGACCCGATTTAAACCTGACATGATATGCTTTCAAGCGAACCATACTTTTTGACCATACCTATAATTTTCCTTTTTTTTTAACTTAAACGTATATTTAAAGGTGTGCACGGGCCAAGGCAGCCCGTGGGCAGCACGACACGACCCGTGAGGGGGCCCGGCACGACACGGTGGTTGGAAGGCGGGTCGTGGGCTGTGCCACGTTCAGAGGGTGGTGATTTCCAGCACGGCACGAGCCCGCTCCCAAGCCCGCATGCTAGCTGCTTTATGACCGTTGAAGCACAACGTCTCTAATGGAGGAGACCGTTGCTCAACGTTAATCTTCCACCATTGTTTCCAACGGTCTTCTTCCCCTAAATTTCTATAAAAAGCTCCATCTTCTTCATTCCAAATCACAAATTCACAATCTCTTCTCTTAATCTCTTATATTCTCTAATAATTCTCTTAATCTCTTATATTCTCTAATAATTCTCTTAATCTCTTATATTCTCTAATAATTCTCTTAATCCTCCTAAGTTCTCTAATTATTATCTCTTAATATCGAAAAAATTAAAAGTTCATAATCGTAATTAATGGAAAGCGTTGAAGCACGGTTGTAAGATCTAAACTAATCTTTAATTTATTATTGTTGTTATTATTATTGTTATAATTATTGTTATTAATTATTATTATTGTTATAATTGTTGTTATTAATTATTATTATTGTTATTATTATTGTTAAAATTGTTGTTATTAATTATTATTACTATTAATTAGTTATTATTAAAATTGTTAATTTGTTAATTTTGGCATCACCAAACATGAACCAATTATCCTCTAAGAAATCCCAATTTGTCCGTGGTAATAGTTCTAGGGAATCACCTAATTCAACGAGCCCCCAAATTCCGAGTCCGTCCATTCCAACCAATGACCCCGGTAACGTCCCCCTAGGCTTTGAACAATTTAGGCACGGTGGTACTTCCGGTTTTCAACCCTATAACATGAATATCCCCGAAATTCCACAAAACCAATTCCACCACAAAACCAATTTCCACAATTCGATCAATTCCCACCTAATTTCTTTGACCCACAAAATTTTTATACTGCCCAAGGTAGCGAACAAGATACCCCATTTGCCTCCAGTTCTACTACTAACCAACCAACCCCCAAATCTACAAACACCCAATTCCTAAACGCACAAGAGCAATGGTTAACCGAAAGTGACATGGTAAATATTAAAAGCCGCAAAAGTGATGTATGGAATTATTTTTTGCTAAACAAAGCACAAACAAAAGCAAAATGTAAAACATGTGTTAATATATACTCGGCCTTATCTAAGGCTGGGACGGGACACTTAAGTAGACACTTTAGAACATGTGCACAACCAGCTAATGATCCAACCTAACCAAAAATTTCCTAATTCCATCCACACGGCTTTACCTACAACTATGAGAGGGATAGGGATGAACTAGGGAACATGATAGTACACGCCGAACAACCTTTTCTTTTCTCCGAAAGTGACCCATTTAACACTTACATTAATAAAGCATTACAACCCCAACATAAAAGAATCTCTAGGAAAACCGTTCGTTCCGCTGCCATGAAAAACTTCCTAGAGTACAAAATGCGGCTACAAGACGAATTAGGTAAACTTACTTGTAGAGTGTCTTTGACTGTCGATTCTTAGGATAATGGTTATAAATCACTACTATATTTTTGACCAAATGCAACGGCCTAATAAAGGCTAATGCAACGGTATTTTAATTGCCGTTGCAATAGAGTAGGTTATTGCCACGGATTTAACACTAATGTTCTTAGAGGTAGAGCTATTGCCACGGCTTTAAAAGAGCCGTTGCAATAGCCTAGCTATTTTTAAAAAAATGAGAGCTATTGCAACGGTATGTGTTGTATTATGAAAAATTTAGAAGCGCGCATTTCTTCCCTCTATTTTTTTCACCAAATATTTGAACAATACTTGTCTTTAATTTGCTTCCCTCTATTCACAATTCTCAAGTACAGTACCATTTTCCCCCTTTTCTCCAATTTTCCCCATTCTCACCTTAATTGATTATAGAGGACCATTTTCACAGTACCATTTTTCCAATTTCTCCATTTTCTCATCTTCTCAAATCTCATATTTTCACAGTAGATGAGAAGGAGTACGTTTTTGTTGTAGTTGTTGCATCTGATTTAAAACCCAGACCTCAAAACTACCAACAATGGCGCAACCACCGCTGCACCACCACCGCGCTCATATACCGACCTCTTCGGCGACCCAATCTACGATTTAACCCCTTTATGGTTCAAGAACAACCTCTTTCTCCCTCCTTTCGACTCCGAATCCTACATCTCTAACCTTCAAACCCAGTCCTCTCTCGTTGCACTCAATTAATCTCAAGTTACTGGTATGTATATTGAAACAATTAAATTTATTCTAGTATAATTTGTTGAAAATGGCTCTATTTAGTTGTTAAATGCTATAATTTCTCAAAAATTAAGCTACTATTTGTTTAATTAGGGTTTTCGTAAGTAATTGCTTCAATAATTCTGATGTCATCAATTTTGTTAAATTAATTTTGCATTTTTGCTGGTTTGATTGAGAGAAAGAGAACGATTAAGGCGAGCAATCTTCTTAATACTCTTCCTGTTCTACAGTCTTACCATAGTACTACATTTTTTTTATCTTATTTATGGTTTCCTTGCGTTTTGTTTAAATTTTTGTGTTTTCAATTTTTCTGATTCTGCTCAATTTTTTTTATTCTTTACTATTCAATTGATTTAAATGTATTGGCTGACGAGATCATTGAATTGTTTGTGAGCTAATTGCAGCCCACCATCCCATTATTGAGTCTTCAGAAGCAGGTGCATGAGCAATTGGTATGCTGGAACCTACAGGTTCTGCTTTTTGGCTAATACCTTGTAGTTTTTTTCGTAGTATCCTTTTTAACTTTAGTTGTTTAGTGTATGTTTGGCTTTAGGCTGTACTAGTTCTGTGGCTTTCTTTTTGGTGAATGTTTTATTTCACGGCATGCATATTCTCTTATGATTACCGATCTTCCACTACTCTCCTTTTGAACACTTCCCTCTTTCAAACAAAAAATGAAATAGAGGGTCGTAATTGCTTGAAAACCAAACCCGATTTCCTCGGCTTTCTGTAATTCCTCTTTTTTTCACCCTTTGATTTGGATAATGAAGAGTCAATGATAGATTGATAGTAGTCTTAGTAGATTCTTAATTTTTCTCTTCAATGTGAATTAAGGCAACGACACTTGGGCGATATCAATGTCTCATGTTTTGGTGTGTCAACCGGATTTATGGAAGTTGTTCACTAGGACAGTGATGTATCATATTATAGCATTTTTGCCTAACTTACTTTGCCTATTGAAAATGTAGAATAACATGCTCAGAAATACAGCAAGGTTCAGTACACTTGTTGAATTGGTCCCCGCAAAACTATGAGGCTAGGGCGGGATGAAAATTAGAGGTAAATTTAGGTGCATGGATGCAAACTAGTGTCAAGTAAATCTAATAAGTCATAAAAATAATATGCCAAGAATTTGGGCATCTTAATATGAACATCTTGCATTCTTGTCAAACTTTTGGGACAGTAGGTAGAGCAAAAAAAAAATCTCTTGGTAAATCGCATGCTCAAAAGGTACTGTATATATTAGGCCCAGCTTTTTAGTTGAGGTTTCTAATCTTACTTAAACAAGTAGTATATCATATCGATGACTATTTCATGGTTTTTTTTCTATAAGTTCATGAGCTCATCAGAACACTTAGTCTTACATAGTTCAATATACTGTCATGTATGAGCTTATGTCAGAATTTTGGAAAAAGATATTATACCTCCTGTTTTTATGCCTAGTTGGTATTTTAACTTGTCATGGCTGTTGTATGAGAAGAAATGGAGAATGCAACATGCATATAGAGTTATGTTGGTTCTGATGTTCAGATGTTCTGTACTTTTTGTTGATGCCTCTGTTTAGTATTATTGAGTCTGTGTTTGTTTACGTTGCATAAAAGTGGTTGCACTCGTACTGTACGTCGTAATTTTACTCTAGGTGTTTAGGGGTGCTGGTTGTTCGTGTAAGTTGTACCCTGTTGTAAGTACAATAGGATGCATTGTTCAGTAAATTAAGACAACTAATTTTCATACTGAAACTGAAGTTAACTAGCTACTTAGACTCTCAAGTAACGAGTTTCTTGCCTTTTTCATACGAACCCCTTAAAGAGTCATTTCTAGTTGCTCTTCTAGAGATTGCAGCTCCTCTATGTTTAGACCGGAGAGCTTTTGTCCCATAAGTTGTCTGCCTTATCAGAATGGAAATGAAGTCCCTAAATAAGTGTATATGAACTCTTTGTTTTAGCTACTCTTTTATATATTAATTGAACTACTACACCAAATCATAATTACCCAAATGCCTCTTAAGTTTTCTATTTAAGGCAGACAGTTTCTGCAAATATGGTTTATCTTGATTTGTATTGTTTATTTGATGGTGGCTCTTAAAATACTAGAAGAATGATTATACTTTGATATGGATTTTCACCTTCTTCATTCAGGTTAAAGCTATATCTTGTTTGAGATTGTTTTAGTAGTAAAAAAGGTGAACTAAAATCCAGATTCTTCGGTTGTGCAGAAATTTTGAGGGGTTTAGTATTATTTAGAGCTAGATTCTTCAAGTTGTGCAGAATTTGAGGGGTTCAAATTATTTAGAGCAAGATTCTTCAAGTTTTGCTGAATTCCTCTCTCAGTCTATCACCTCCGACTGCGCAGCGGCGCCTTTACGTTAATTGATAACTCCAATGGCGTTTCGAGGTGTGGGTTTTCAATTGACAACAACTATAAACTCGGATAAGCAGAGGTAAGCAATTTGAGTTAGTGGTTGCAGTTTGCTATGGTCTAATGTAGCTTAATTGGGGTATTCTGGTTTTGCTTATGATTAGTTATTGTTGCTAATTAATCAGAGAGTGTTTGCAATTTAGTCTGAGCTAATTGTAGTTTGAATTGGTAATTATCTATTTTGATTTATAATTAGGTTGCTGCTGAGTATTTCTAATTGTTTCATGCATTGTTTTTGGGTTAATAGTTTAGTTATTGCTGCTAAATAATCAGAGAGTGTTTGCAATTTAGGCTGACCTAAGTGTAGTTTGATTTTTTTTTATCTATAATAAATAGTTTACCGTTTAGGATTTCTAATTGTTTCATTCATTGTTTTTGGGTTGGTATGCGTTTAGCAAGGCCTTACTGGGTGATGCGGAACTCAAGTTTTGCTTGTATTTGTGGTGGGTGTGTGATGCTTGGATTAAGATTGTTTTTTTTTTGTGTGTGCCTACTGTCCTTTTTCTTTTGCTTTTGTGTCAATTGAGGTCGTTGCTTGCTGGATTTTTACTGTTTATGGTTGGTGATGGCAACTGCTCTGTTGGAAATATGATTTAGAATCCTAATTTTGGGCAGAAAAAGCTTGGCCAGTTTTTAAGGCCTTTTCATATCTTGTCTTTTTCTGGGGAAGGAGTTAGCTTTAAGAGGGTCGGTTTACCCTTACTATATATATGACCACTCTCTTTTGAGTTGAGCTATCTTTTGTTATCTTCACTGATCAAGGTGGTTCAGGTAATGAGTTCTTGGAGCTTTATTTTGCTTATTCATGCTAATTGGTTTTTGTTATTGGACTTTTACTGGAAAAACGAGCTTGGTTTAAAGAACATTGTGACGAAAATGATCTTTACCTACATTGATTACTCAACTGGAACAAATGAATTGCAATATAGATAATTAGAATATTTAAAATGTCTGATCTTATATACATTTCTGTGTAAATTAGCTTAATCGATTATTTGATTATAGTTTAGGCTTAAATAAGCTTGGCTATCATACAGTTGTTAGGTTTTCAGATTTATAGTTTTTATAATTAGCTAGAAAAGAAAAAATAATATGAATGTTCTTGGTTAAAAAGTGAACTTTGAATTTGTTTGTTGCTGTGTGAAAAATCGTGTCTTAGGGGGGAAAATTATATTAGTGGAGGCATCATTTTGGTTTGGTTCCCGATTTATAGATCTTAAAGTGACGGGTTTTGTTTGGTTTGTATTAATTGGATCATTGAATGGTACATACTTTAGGAGCATAATAAGAGGAAATGTCGGCTTGTGCGATGATGTATTGTTTATGATTGAGTTTGTCTTTTACTGCCTCTTATAGTGAGCTGAGCAGAATTTTGTGTTGCTTGCAGGTGTTGTTGTGCTATATAACTTGGTGCTCGTTCTACTCAGATTTCCGTAGGTATATACTGTCCTTAGCGTGATCTGCTATATACATTCGGGTTTAGTATGCTCTTTTAATTGCCGAAAAGTAATGTTCTGATTATACTGAGAATTTATATGTTATTCTGTTTACCTGTTTAATAATTTATATGTTATTCTCTTTACTTGTTTAATAATTTTGGTTTATGTAATTTATGAAAAACAAAATTCTAGGGTTTATGTAATTTATGAAAAACAGAATCCAGTAAGTTTTAATTTAATATAATTTGTTTTTGACTTGTTATTGGATTCAATTCGTTTTGTTTCTCTTCTTCTTGTGTATTCAGGTAAGAAGCCGCTTGTTATACAATGAAAAATAAAAAATATCACCCCTCTGAGTGAATGGGCAGCGTATAATTTTCTTCACCCTAATTTGTATGAAGATGTTGAATTTACTTCTGAGATGAAGCGAAATTAGGTTTATAATTTGAGTATTCCTCAATTCTCTTACTTACTCTCCAAGATCCGCTCTCTTCATACTTTAATTTGTAAGGATATAGAGCTTTCTTATAGGATACCTCATGCCTGTGATGTTTGGATTAAGAGACAGAATGACAGGTATGTGCTTCTCTGTCTTCTTTTTTCGTGTTTCACTGAATCGAATTTATTTTTGTATGCATTGATAAATGTTGTTTGTTTGATTGGTACACTTAATTTGTTTGTGCTTTAAGGAAATTGCCATACCAAGAGAAGCATGTCCGCCAACAGGCATCGATTCTTGGCAACTTGGAGGATTTTGGGGTTTTGTCTGAGCAATACTGTCAATCTGATCTCTCTGTTGTTGTTGAGTTTGGAGCTGGCAGGGGTTACTTAACCCAGATATTAGCTGATTTTTATGGGATCAATAAGGTCTTTTTGGTTGAGCGTAAGGCATACAAGCTAAAGGTCAGTGTACATTAAAACACTTCTTTATGCTCATATAAGATGTAACTAAACTCATTATATTTATGCTCATATATCTTAGTATCTTAAACTTTAGGCTGATCGAAGTCTACCACAGATAGACAACTTAACATTGGAGCGTTTGAGAATTGACCGTAAGGTTTTCCTAAAACCTCATGTCATGTTTTTTGAGGCCTTTATCCTCGTGTGAGCTATGTTATGTTTTTGTATAGTAACTTATTGTTTCATTACCTAGAAATATCCTCTTCTGAGCTTTGTTATGCTTTAGTACATAAAATAATCTATATGCATACAACATGATCATAAAACATAATTGACTTTCTGCTATATGTAGTATCTTTGAATGTTAAACCTACCATACACAATGAATTCGGTTTACTTTCTCTACTATTAATCAGATATCAAATGAAATTTGTATGAGGCTTGACTCTCCTTCAGTTAAGTCGCTTGGGTAGGCTAATTGATGCTTTCATACTGTGTTTTGTCCAGTTTATTTATAACTAGAATTCCAGCTTACTTGCAGGAAGAAATTGGAAATAAAGAATTTAACTGCATATGTTCTTGACAAGATATGCACAAGGTTACTACAAGATTGTACGAAGTATAGTGACTAGCCATCTAACAAATGGTGCATATATGTTGGAGACTCTTATTCAAGTTTCGGCTTTGTGAAGATTTGGATATTTCGGCTTATATATATGTTGACAATTTGTATTTTGGACGATCAAATTAATTATCTAACTTTTATTTATTATTAGTACGGTATGTCATATCAAAAATAGGCAAGTAATATTTTTGTACGTATTTTGCATTATAATTATTATATATAAATGATACTTTAATTTGTTTATGTTAGTATATTTAGATTTGTACCGACTAATTAATATTATATTACCATTCCATCCCAACAAAAAAAAAACCCAATGATCAATCCGTTGCAGTAGATACATACTCCTACCATTGTATTAATTAGCTTCATCCGTTGCAATAGGTTCAATTTCATCATAATTATTAGTCAGTACTCTATTGCCACGGATAAGTTATGCCGTTGCAATAGGTTCAATTTCATCATAATTATTAGTTAGTACTCTATTGCCACGGATAAGTTATGCCGTTGCAACAGGTATTGGTCTATTGCCACGAATCAGTGGTGCCGTGGCATTAGGTGTCATAAGCCGTTGCATTAGACCTACTGCAACGCCAGCAGATGCCACGGTACATGGTCGTTTCATTAGGCCTAATGCCACGGATTTTGATGCCTAATGCAACGGATTTAGGGGTTGCAATAGATCAAAAATGTAGTAGTGAATATCACTATTTATGTGTGACTTTCCATTGGGTAGATGATCAATGGTTGTTACAAAAACGAATAATCCATTTCAAAATGCTAGAATACCCCCACACCGGTATTAACATTGCTCACCATTTAATGGAAGCTATAAACGATACAACCTTAGAGAAAAAATCATGTCTATGACATTTGACAATGCAACCTCAATGACATATACTGCTAATTATGTGAAACAAAATTTAACCGATGTAATATTAGATGGTGACGCACTTCATACTAGATGTGTTTGCCATGTTCTTAACTTATGTGTACAAGATGGAATTAGAGCAATGGGTCCATACTATAACAAAATTAGAGAAGCTATTATGTCTATTAATAGCTCAAACATGAGATACCAAGAATGGAAAAGTTTTCTAAGACAACAAAAGATAAGAGCAATAAAAATCAAAAACGATTGTCCAACTAGGTAAATTCCATCTATGACATGTTAACCAAGGCAATTGAATATAAGAATCCCTTAACAATTTTTTACAACGGAAAATTTCCAAACAATGCTATATATGAGGATGATTGGGATAAATGTGAAATTATATGCAATTTTTACAATTATTATATAACATGACATTTTGTTTTTCTTCTGTTTATAATCCTTGTGCTGAAAACTTTCTTTCAAATGCATGTTTACTCGCTCATCCTTTCGCTGATCATCGCAACCAAAGTGATTATGATCAATATCTTCCAGCAATGGAAACAAAGTGGCGTAAATATTATACTGAAATTCCTTTAATTTATATTTTTGCTTCCATATTAGATCCTAGGCAAAAGTATGAAAATACATTTATGTTAGTTGACATTTATTTTCAATGCATGCTTATTGACGATAATGTAGAAACCTATAAGAGTAATGTGAAGGATCAATTTTTTGCTTTATATAGAGTTTATGAAACCAAATATGGCACCGTTCCTCGTTCTGGCCCTTCCCAACCATCCAAAACGTAAGTAAAAAGGCCAAACATTTATTTTCACAAGCTACTAACTTGATTTCAAGGTTTTCAGGTGATTCATCAATAAGGAGACCGCAAAGCAATGTCTCGGAGTTGCAAATGTACCTAAGTTACGACTTTACCAAGGGCATGGACGACGATGAGATAAACACCCTCGACCTCCTTGCATGGTGGAAACAACGAAGCTCGAAGCATCCAACTTTGGCGGCAATGGCGCGAGACATTCTTGGTATCCAAGTCTCCTCCGTTGCCTCCGAACGAGCTTTCAGCGCATCCGGGAGGGTTTTAGACGATAGAAGTTTAAGTCTAAAACCCGAAACACTTGAAATGTGCGTGTGTTTCAAAGATTGGTTGGATGCTGAAAATCGCTCACAAGACCGTACTTACGACGACAACAAAAACGATGAAGGAACCTCCGCTTCCGACCGTTCGGGTTCGGCTAGTTCCCAATCTATTCAACTAGCCGATGACCTTGAAGAAGAAGAAGAAGAAGAAGAAGAAGAAGAAGAAGAAGAAGAAGAAGAAGAATAGACAATTTTTGTATATTGTATGATTTTTATCATTATCCAATTTTTGTTTAATATCCTTGTACAATTTTTATTTTTATTATTATCATTGTACAATTTTTTCAAGTAATAATAATATGAAGTATGCATTATTCACATCCAAAGTCCAATTTGCCTTTTTTTCCCATTAAGTTATAATTTGTAAATTAATATAACAAAAAAAATTATAATAATTTATAATTAATAATACAAAAATAAATATAATAAATTATAAACATTAAACTATAAAGTAATAGTATAAACTAAATATAAATATAAATATTAAGTATAATAAATAATAAAACATAAATATTAAACTTAATTTATTAGAAAAATAATAGTAAAAACTATAAACTTATAAAGTATAAACATTTTTTAAAAAAAAAAAAAAACAAACAAACAAACAAAGAAGCAAAGCAAGGCAGCAGCACGATGGCGGCACGCAGGCCCATGGCAGGCCAACCCGGCACGAGCCCGCTCGGCACATGGGTCGTGCCATGCCGTGGACTGGCCTGCGATTTTGGGTGGCACGGCACGGCCCGACACGCCGGATATCGTGGCCCGCCAAGCACGGCCCGCGGCGGCCCGGCCCGGCACGTTGCCCACCTTTACATATATTAATGACATGATGTGGAAAACCGACACATGAATAACTTAATTTCCACCCAAAAAAAGGGAAAAAAATCTCTATAATTACTTACCCATAAAACAACCCATGCAAACAAACATTGTCATCCACGCAAAAAACAAAAATGATTAATAATAATTCTAATCCAAAAAATACAAATGGTGGCTAAATCCTGTGATAACTTGTCATGCCACATCATATTCTTCATGTACAATGATCATAGCTCTGACTTTCTCAAATGGTTAAGCAAGCTGTAAATTATTGTATTTTAATGTAATATAATCCAAAAAAAAATAATAATAATAATTCTAATCCAAAAAAAAATTGCAAAGACATAATTACCTCCAAAAATCAAATTTGGCTGCCCTTGCTAATCCACAAGAAGTGCAACAATGGTATATCCTTTATCTTAACAATTTGAATATTTCCAAGGTAGTCCCTTTTTATAACCATCGGAGTTGGTCTTATAATAATTTATTGTTGTAAAAAATTTACCTTTCTTCTTATTCATTTGAATAAAACTTCTTTTGTTATGTTTTGCTTGACATGTTTCTTTTATCACGCTTACAAACACGCCACTTTAATGAGCAGTAACTTTTTATCTCTTTAAGGTACAACTAGGGTATTATGTAAAAAAACTTCACCACCGAATATAATATAGCCAATATTTTGAATTCACTTGCAATAATTATTTGCAATTTTCACTTGAAAAAAATCATTTGTAAGGTACAAACCTAGTCTTTCAATATTACAAAGGACCCCCCTTGTTTTTTCCAAAAGCATGAGCGTTCATCACATCAAATCCAAAGGATCCTCTTGTAAAAAATAGATTATTAATTTTAGAGACAAAACCTGCTCAATTAAGATTTCATTGGGGGTGTCGGCCCTTTGGGTTCGACTTGAGTTAAGAATATGAAAAAGGTTACCGAACATTAATCTTGTTGTTTTTGTCACATAAACCGAGGTATATACAACCTAAGCCAAACCATTTCATATAGCTATACTCTAATACTACTCGTGAATTATGCCCAAAGTACCAAACTGAGCACCCAAAAGTATGAATTAGCAAGTTCGTGCACACAACTCAAAGTGTTTATTGTAAAATGAAACTTTTGATTTACGGTTTGTTGTTAACTTTGTGTTAATAAATAGTTTTGAAGAAATGGGAGGTTATTTCTTAAATTGCCGGCTCTATGAAGTGTGGTTAAATAAAAATAATCCAAAGCATATTAACAAGTTAAGTTATGCGTCTTGAAAAAATGGCACAATCAAATGGTGTAAAAAATAAGGAGCACATTAAGTCCGACTTAATAATAATGAAGCAATAAAGCAGTACAAAATTTACAACAATATATGATTAAATCCTTATGTACAAATTGTTGTGTTTGTACATAGACACACTCAAAGCAGGAAAAAATTTATTAGCATTTGTAGACACCAGTTTGTGTCTCCCCAAAAACCAAACCCAATGATGAGTACCTCTCACGTCATTGATTATTGATTAAGGTGAAATGTTGAAGAGTCTCGTGGATTTCCCCTTTTCTAACCTTTCCTAAATTATTTTAAACCAAAATAATTCATTTTGTGTCCTTAAAATAATTCTTTTCGTGTCCTATTTATAAAAACGTCAAAACCAGTTTATTTTAGTCCATAATTTGGGTCAAATAATTATGTAGTTGTATGGGGTTTGAAAAGAGCTTTCGAACGATATATTATAAGCTCAAATCCGAGTTATAACGAAGAAGTTATTGCCAAAGTACTAAATTGGGCCCAAACCGAGCCTCATATGCGGACCCAATGATCATGTGGAGAGTCCATTTCTAAAACCATTAGGATTTATCATAAGCTTCTAGAATTATCTTGAAGATTGTTTTAAGTCCTAAATCCATTAGGATTGACTATTAGCTTCTAGAAGGTTCTAATTATCCTTTTTTTTTTTTAAAAAAAAGATAAGGATTAAGAATTTTTATATCGGATAAAACATGTGTTTTTAATAGATTTAATTATGATAAAATAAGGATAAGTACGGATATTCGACTAACCCAATTTGATTGGAAGTCGGATTTGTAAGGATCTTATCTTTTCAAAAGCATCGCGCAGCGATGGAAAAATCGCACAGTGATATAAGCATCACGACGCAATGAATTCATCGCCATGCAATGAAAGTTGTTTTATTTCGGATGGAATTCGGATCGTTTTCTGATCTTTTCGGTCGTTTTTCTCTATAAATAGGGACGATTTCCTCCGTTTTCAGACACCAACAATCATCATCCAATCCTCTCTAAGCTCTAAGCTTCCTTTCTCTCTCTCTTTCTTAGCCTTAGCCTAAACACATCCGAACACCATATGTCCTTTGTGAGATTTGAATAAACCTAACCAAGCTCGAAGTTGCCTTAGACCTCTAAGTGAAAGGTTGATATTTCTGAGGGTTTAGTCCCTAATCTCTATTTC